TAAATATTTAAGTCACAAGTTAAATATTTAGCTTGTTAACTAAATTTGTAAGTTAAATATTTAGTTTATAAACTGACATTTATAAATGTATGAATCATTTGGTGAAAAACTGACTTTGAAAAATAAATCTGTTCTTTTTTCTTATAAAAGTCTAAATAAAACACAAATATTGGTGGTAATTTCTGACTGTGTAACTTTACAAACAGCACCTCATATACAGCTTTGTGTTGTTCCTGAAACTAATTAAAAATAAAGAATAAAAAGATGTTTACATGTAAACACATGTTTACTGTGATCCTGAGAATAAAGTGAGTTTATTTAGTTTATTAATAATCTTTTACAACATGTGGGGTTTTTTTCAGGATGGAGGTTGTGAAAAAATCTCAGCTGACGTCACGTTTTTTTTCTTGGTCATTTTTTAAGTTTTAACCTCTGAATCATTGGAAACAAACAAAAAAACGTTTAAACTGAGAATCAAACAGAAAAGTGAGCAAAGAGCTGAAAGATTTGTTTAAAGAGAGAAGAAACAGGATGAAGAGCTGCCCTCGTCATCATCAGCTCTTCCTCTGTAATACCAACACTCTGAGTCAGACTGCAGGAAGCTGCAACCACACACCGCAGGGTGTGTGTACGTGTGTGTCTGTGTGTGTGTCTGTGTGTGTGTGGGGGGGGAGGGGGGTCATTCATGTTACAACCTGGGTTTAAACTGCAGAGAAAATATTTCAGCTTCACTCAGGAAACATCTGGACAAACCTTAAAGGTTGTTAAAATAAAAACAGTTTCTTAGTAAGTTAATGTAAAAACTTTTCAAACTATTTAAAATAATTCACTAATTAAAGTGATTTAATGATAATTTTAAGTTTTATTTTGAAACCAAGAAGACGTAAAATCAGAAATATGTTAAACCTGATGAGATGTTTCAGCTCTCTGTAGTTACTGGTCACCACAGCAGACTGTGACTCAGCCTGATTTAGTAATCCTGAGTTGAATAATCCTGAGTTGAATAATCCTGAGTTGAATAAACCTGAGTTAAAGATGTTGTCATGATTCTTGTGTTTTATGGTTCAATTTATTAGAATTTTCTGTTTCATTGTTTGGTCATCTTGTGTCTTATTTTCTCATTTCCTGTTAGTTTTCTCCATTTCCTGTTTCATGTTATCCTCAGCAGCTTCTTGGTATTTTTCCAGCCTGCCACACTCACCTGTCCATGGTCAGTAATCACCCAGGTGCTTCCACTCCCCAGTCATCCTCAGTTATATTTAACCAGTGTCATGTCTTCATCACCCTGTTGGATCATTGTCTTTTCACGCCTCGTCTCTGTCCATGTTTTCTTTTGTATTTTTGCTGCCACGCCAGCCTTTTTGTTTCATTAAATCAGTTTTGTTCTGCATTCAAGCCCTCGTGTCTGCCTGCATGTTCCACACCAATCCTAACATGTGGTAGTAGCTGAGAGTCATCCTCACATCACACCTCTAACAGATTGGAATTTATAATTCATCCAGATTAACTTGGGCATTTCAAAATAAAAGCATCTTATTTAAATCCTGGTGCAGAGGAGCTGAGCTGCAGCTGCTGAAACATGGATGTGATGAAGTCTGAAACTCCTCAGCTCCAACATGATGTTAGTTTGAGTGTTTGAAGTAATTACATGTTAATAACTGTGTAATTACTGCTTCACCTGGTTCCTTCAGCAGGTCAGCTGATTGTTGAAAAGGCTGCAGACAGAATCTGGTTTATGTTGAAAATGTTTCTGTTGCAGGTTCTGATGAGAGTTAACAGGTATTTGTTGCTGACAGGTCAGATTTCGTGTCTTTATGTAACACTCGTTCCCTTCAGGTGTGTTTCTGTTGCTCTCAGCTCCATAATCCAGGATTAGAAAAGAATGTGAGTTTTGGTGAACGCCCAGAGGCCCAGCCAGGTGGAGTTCTGTTCTGTAAACTTAGAGCCCGTTCCCACCCCGCCCTCCTCCCACAGGGACACGTTCTGATTGGTCGGTCGCGTGCGGGCTCACCTTTACCTTCCATTCATTCAGAACTCCAGCCAACATACCAGAGGCATGGTGGGAAAATACAACACATTCCATCTGACTGAGTCCTGCTGGTGACCGCAGCACAATAGAAGGTGCAGCATGATGTCATCCAGGTGAGCATACCTGAACAAAACCCCTGCTGAGGTACAGGGATTACAGCAACATCCTGTTGTGTCAGAGGGGGGCGGGGCCAGCCTGGGCTTTAATTAGAAACAGACGTTAGAACTGGTTTGTTGTGCAGTCAGGATTTATCTGATAAACGTTCCAACATCAGCTGCTTCAAATATTATTATTATTATTATTATTATTATTATTATTATTATTATTATTACTATCATTGTTGTTGTTGTTGTTGTTGTTGTTGTTGTTATTATTGTATTATTTTTCTGTTTTTAATAATGAAGCTGATCTTCTTGAGCTCAGGTCCGTTCCTCCTCTTCCTCCTCTTCCTCTCGACACAGTTTGACCCGTGCTGTCAGTCAACAGACGTGTTTAATCTGCAGCATCACTGATGATGACAGCTGTTCTTCATCCTCTCCCTCCTCTTCCTCCTCCTGCAGCTCTGAATGAATCAGTGTGGTGGTGACTCTTCCTCCTCTCTCCTGATAACCTGGAATGAGTTCCGGCCCTCCTCCTCCTCCTCCTCTTCATCACTCTGAACAATAAACTCTTATCTGGAAACAAACTGTGACTTAAATGTTATTTTCACCCAAACACTGAAGAAATCTGGACTTTTTGACGCTCAGATGGAAGAAAACTGATTATCAGGAATGTTTTCATTATTTTTATTTATTACTTCCTGATTCTGACGCATTTATTAACAAAAACTCCAAAAGTTTCTGATGTTCTGAACCAACGAGTTTATTATCTGACTGGAAAGATGAAGACGTCCTTCAGCTTCAGCTGCTTCAGCTTCAGCTGCTTCATCTTCAGCTGCTTCAGCTTCAGCTGCTTCAGCTTCAGCTG